AGCTTCACCATGCCGGGAGGCAAGGAATCCAGCCTACCTGTGCTTGATGGAGTTGCTAAGGTCTCTGCGAGAGATCTGCGAGGGACCAGCGCGGTACTGACAGTGTGTCTGCGGGGAAGAGAAGAAGAGGAGGACAGCCGGTTACACAGAGGGCCGGAGGCTGGCGTGGGCCCATTACACAGAGGATTAGAGGCTGGTGTGGGCTCCAGCCAAACGCAGTACGAGGGAGGCTCACCGCCCTCAGGAAGGACAATGACCACATCACTTGTCAAATCAAAGCCAAGCAAAACGCTGGTTTAGCTTGTTTATCTTAACCCATGCAAGGTCCCCGGGCAGGACAGCCAGAGAGTGCCTTGAAGGAAGCCAGTGTGCAAACAATAAGATTAAGCATCACTTCCGTTTACAGAGTGCTTAGTGTGTGCTGGGTGTGTGCCCACACGTGCCTCAGTTCAGTACGGCGTGAGACAATCCCAAAGACGGGGGTTGTTAGCATCCCCACCTGGACGGTGAGGCAGCTGCGGCCTGGAGAGAGGAAGTCAGCTGCTCAAGGTCATACACCTCGGAAGCAGCACAGTCACTGTGAATCCAGGCTTGAGGGCTCTAGGCATGTGCCCTTGCAGGCAAAGTTCTAAAGCGGTAGATTCCAAATGCCAGTCACGCAAGTACCACCTTCCTAATTTTGGTCACGACCCTGTATAACCCATAGAATTATTTGTTTCCTATTTTAAGTTGACTCTTTTTGTTTGTTTAAATACATTTATTTTAAAATCAAAGTCTATATGGAAAACTAGTATCACTTTCTATATATTGTAGGTAACTATTTAAAATATGTCCAACCATGAACCATCTAAACTCATTCTAGAATAAGGGATGGACTGGTTGATGAACAGGTGGATGGATGGCTAGATGGATAGGTCGATGGACTGGTTGGTGGGTGTGTGGATGGATGGATGGATGGATGGATGGATGGATGGATGGATGGATGGATGGGTGGATGGATGGATGGATGGATGTTTGGACAGGTGGGTGGATGAATGGTCAGATAGGTAGGTGGATAGACAGATGACTGGATAGATGGACAAATGGGTAGATGGGTGAATGAATTGCTAGGTGGGTGGATGGATGGATGGGAATGAGGGGGAAACAATACATCACACAGACTTCAGACTGGATTCCTGTCCCCATCTGGTCTTTTCTTTTTTATCTTAGACTAAATCCCAGTGACCTCCACTGACAGTTCTGGGACTTTTTCTGTAGACTGAGCCCCAGTCCCCACCTTCCCTCCACTTCCCGGCTCCTCACAGACCTTGCAGGCGCCGAGAGGTGTGAAACAACAGCAGAAATGAACTAGTGCTGCCTGTGAAAGCTCCACCAGCCAGGGCGAGGAGAAGCCAGAGGCTGACCCGCACGCCAGCTCTCATTTCTCAGGCCGGATGGATGGGGCCAGCTCCCTGTTTTCCGAGCTGCAAATGCACGCCTCATTTTTCACAGCAATTGTAATGGAGTTGTGTGCTCACGGGGGAGCCGGGCTTGTCTGAACCGATCAGGGAGCATTTAACCCCCAGCCCATTCAAACCCTCTCTTCGGTCTCATGACACCGGCGGCAGCCATCTGAAAGCTGTTTCCAGAAACCCCAGTTCTGCCCTGGGACCCTTTCTCAGAGAGCTAATGATTCTCCAAGCCCCAAAGGGCAGAGAAAACACAAGAGGGACGCAGCTGATAGATCACTCACTCCGAATCACTGCCAGTGGAATCCCTCTAGTTTAACTAAAAACTAAATGTCACCCCTTTTGTAAGCCCATTTTACTACTTGTTTAGTTTCTGAGAAACAAACAAGCAAACAAAAAAGAAAAACATTTGAGAGAGAGAGAGAGAGAGAGAGAGAGAGGGGACACACGCACGCGGGCTTTCTTCCCATTGCCATCTCCTTTGGGGACTGAAGTGAGATTTGAGAGGAAGGATTCTACCTGCTAATTCCTTAAAATGTTTTCTCCGGGGCCAGGGATGGGCGAAGGGGTGAAGCTGTGCTGGAGAGGAGGGTCAGCTCAGATACACCGCCTCCTTGTGGGGAATCCACAGAACGGGAGTGCCACAGGGGAGCTCCATCTCCTGGAGCATCAGCAGGGCTGTGGGAAAGGTGTGTTGAGGGGATTCTGAGGCTCGCTAGGGAAGACCTGGGAGATTGACAAGCAATGCCTGCAGGGCGAAGCATAAGGTCGTACCCACAAGTCTGCATATATTTGCCTCTCCAGCAAGCAGAGAGACCACATCTTTGTCTCTGCCTCACTGCCTCAGAGCATAGGGGGTGAGTCAAAATAAGTGCTTAAAACATGTTTGCTGAATCTAAGATTATATATAACCCTGAGTGATTGATCACTCAATATGTGTTACCCGTTGAAGTTTCTACCTGGAAGCTGTGCCTTTTTGCACTCGGGGTTCTCATTATTCCCGCTGTACAAAGGAAGACACAGGAGCTCAGAGAGGTGCAGGGACTTGCTGAAGGTCACACAGCCAGGCACTAGCAGATCCTCAAGCCGTAACTGCAATTGTTCACAAGTCCTCCGAAAGCCCTACACCAGTGTTCTCAGCCAGGGGCACTGATGGCCCCCAGGAACACTGGGCAATGAATGGAGGCATGTTTGGTTGTCAGGCTAGGGTGGGGAGGATGCTACTGGTATCTAACAGGTAGAGGCCAGGGATGCTGCTCAACATCCTACAGTGCATAGGACAGCCCCCCACAGCACAGAACTAACCACCCCCAAAGTCAATGGCGCCAAGGATGAGAATCCCAGATCCAGATGTTTTTACTTCTCCAGGCATCTCTCTACCCCCCCAGCCCCCAAATGACCCGGATGGTGTTCCTGAGGCTCAAGTCAGCAGACAGCAAGTCCTCTTGTATTATAAGCACATCTCACTGTTCCACTCAGAGCCTAATTATCCTGTTATTCTCAATTACAGCGCCGTCTCGAAAAAGCAGAAGTAATTAAGTTTAGTCGTTTGGTTTCATTCCCCCAATATCTGGTTGAAGGGTGAACTCTGTCCATTACATTACGAGCTGCAGCAGCGTTCTTCTCAGGCTATAATAACCTGCTCACAGCATCACACGGGGTGTGAAGAGCTGAACTCTGAGATCCTCCCTTTACTTTCTGCGTTTCGATTTCATTACACTTGCCAATGCAAGCCTTAGAGCAAAGGGAAACCGGTTAAAGGGAAAGGGGGGGTGGAAATCTATGAAAATCGAGGCCTTATCATAACAGAGAAGGCAAACAGCATTTACAGCAATTAAACTGATACAGAAACTTCTGCTTAACAATCAAAGCGCCTATTAAGATGTCTCCATAGCTGAACAAAAGATTCTTTTTCTAGTCTAATTTTCTGATAACAAGTCGTACAGACACGGAGGCAGAACTGCTGCCTTCTGTCCCAGGGGGAGAACACCAGACATGTCTTCTTAGACATTTTCATTCCCGCTGCCTGGAGAGGGAACGTGCTGGAGGGGAGGTGGGGTCTTCTCCCTCCTGCAGGCCCCTGGCGATGCCCTCGCACAAGTGCCTCCGCACAGAAGGGGGTAAACCAGGAGGCCTGGTCTTTGAAATCACCCTGGTAGCCAGATAAACAAACAGAAGCCTCGACAGAAGAAACCGACATTAATAAAGCATCCATGTAATGTAGAGCTTTGATATGAAAAACTCAGAGTCAGACGCGGGAAAAGCATCGAAAAACATTTAACACAGGGACACAAGGTAAAAACGGTGACAATAAAGAGAAGGACGAGGAGGAAAAAGACCAGGAGGAAAAGAAATAAGAATAACAATCAGCCCAGCAGTGTGGCTCAGCGGTTGAGTGACCCTGAACCAAGAGGTCAACGGTTTGATTCCCCATTCCCCGTCAGGGTATTTGATTGCCAGCTGATTGATGATGTTTCTCTCTCACCGATGTTTCTATCTCTCTATCCCTCTCCCTTCCTCTCTCTTTAAAAATCAGTAAAAACATGTTTATTAAAAAAATAGCAATCAGAAAGAAAAAAAATAAAAGATATGCTTTTTGTGGAGTGTTACCATGTACAGGCACTATTGCCAAATAAGGCCTACATATATACTATCTCATTTAACCCGTACCTGACAGTGCATGCATTCTGGTGACCTATCAGCTGTT